GGAATAATTTTTCCTTCTAGCTTTATTTATATAAACTTTGACTTACCATAATAGACTAATATCAGAGAGCAACAGAAATGCCAACATTCTTGATTGATTACAGCATTTCTTATTCCGTTGCTTAGAATCAGCTAGTTCTTTCCAGTCACATTGAAGCAACAACCAGTTTAATTTTTTGGGGGTTTTTTTTGCAATATTACCTTTATGCTGGCCATAGTCCATATTTTGGCACCCAAGTTTTGCTGACTTTCTGTTGTGCCTCTGAAAATCTGATACCATCTGATACCTCTTCTCCAATACCATAAAAGATGAGAAGCCACGCACATACAAATGAAAAACTAGTTTGCTCATCAGCCAAATTTGATTTCCAGCTGGAAGTCCACTTCACTTTTGACACATTTTTTTCCCCCAAATGCAGCAAAGCTAGCTAAAATGGGATGTTTTAATCACGTTTGTCCTCCTCTGCTGCTTCTCCCCTTCTTACCACACTTGCTGTACGCAGAAGAGAGTTAGCTAACTAAAGTAACACTTGGAGGCTGATTCGCTTCTTACGCAGCAAGGAGGAGATGGGAAGAAAAGCTTCTGGAGGCTTGTGTGAGGATTCGGTTATACTCCCATGAGGAAGCAGCCTGAGGAAATCAAATCTGTGCCTATCACCCTTCGGGATTACCTCTGGAACAGCAGCACCCCTTTCTCCACACTCTTTTCGGGCAACACTCACCTTCCTCCCATTCACATAGAAAATCAGCTCATCAGCTCTCGCTGCCCCTTGCAGAGACATTGTATCCCAGCCCCGGAACCGACAGCGGCAGGAAATCCCGGGCAGCGGCAGCAGCCGAAGCTGGAGAGCCCTCGGCAGGCGGGGGCGGGGCCGCAGCGGGGCGGAGGCAACGGGCAGGGAGAGCGGGGAGCTGCCGGGGGCGCTGGGGAGCGCCGAGCCCGCCGGGGGAAGGCGAGCTGCGGTGTCCCTGAAAGGTACGAGTCACTTGCTCTTAACATTCAGCGCTAACCACGCAACCTATTTACTGGATCCTTTTAAGGTACAGTCAAACACCAAGCCATACCTCACGCTTTCTCAAAGGACATATGTTTCGTCAGAGCAAAATGGCAACTTAGCACTATGAAGTGTTACTACATTCTAACAACAAAAAGGAAATCGGCAGGGGGATTGGATTAGATGATCTTTCGAGGTCCCTTCCAATCCCCAACATTCTGTGATTCTGTGATTCTGTGAAAGGTAATTTTAAATTGTGATAAAATCCAGCAAGGTAGTGATCACGAGCCTAGTGAGAATTTTTTGCATAAATCTGCACTCACAAAATAATGGGCAGCAACTTCCAGGTATTATGTATTATAAGCATTTGTAAGGGCTACTTGTGCAAGCAAGAGTTTATAGAATCATAAATATTTCCCCCTTCCTGTTTAATCTAAATCTATAGAATTAATTTTGCTACAAATTTTAAAACAAAAAATTTTTAGTGATAAACTGAAATATTAAATGTAAAAAAAATAGACTTAATAAACATGAGTAAAAGCAACTTTGAAGTTATAAAAAGAAGTTCAAATTACCTTATCCTCAGCACAGCAAAATAATCTTAATCCCTGTGACAGTTACAGAATAATTTTTATCTCGAATATCATGAGCTGTTTTAACATCTCTTTCCTGGCACGTTTCTAATGTAACAACTGATCTGGTAAAAGAAGCACATGTAGTGAAGATTCAACAGGCAATGTAACATTATGCAGCACCTAAAGTAAGTGACCATTTTACAGAACAATTAGAAGAGCTGCATCCTAGAAAATAACAAAGTAATTTTTTTTGTGTATAGAACATAAGTTTGAGCAACAAAAACAATAAGGATGCAGAAAACAAGGAAAGAAGGACAGTAGTGACAACAATATGATTTCAGAGTTACTTAAAAGAACTTTTGTGCACCTTCAGGTCATTTTCTTTACCCTTTGTTACTTTGAAAGATACCTATACTAAAAGGAACGGAAGAAACTAAGGTATAAAGCTCTAGAACTTATACTTTTATTGAAAATCACATGCTTTTATTTGGAACACCGTAGCAGTCTAGCTGTTAACACCCGAGGCTGCGTGGAACAACAGGACCTTCACTGAAAAAAAAAAAAAAAATCAAAAAATATATTTTTTTTTTTCTGAGAAAATGAAGCATGTGCTTCTGTTTCTAGCTTTCAAACCATGGACAATAGAGAGAAACAACCATTTTAAAAAACATTGTTTTGCTGCTGCAGTGTCAGCACAGGAAACACAAGTTTTAACAGACACTTCTTTTGGATTTCTAATGACACAGCTGGTGATATTTATAAACAGTGAAAGCTATCAAGAATATTTAAATTTTAAAAAAATAATTATAAACTTGATAAAAACATAAAAGAAAAAAAATGTATAAAAATATTCTATGTGTAATTCTTTTTAAAATAACATTGAATCAGGATAGAATCTCTCTTCCCAAGTACTTCTGCACCTCTTTATAATGGTCTTGCTGATGTAGTGACATACCCATCATGTTTCAGAAAGAAAAAGTCTCTTTGCTGAAACTTGTCAGATAATTTTAATAGCTCTGTTTTGAAATACAGATCACATTGCCTGGGTGATAAGGTAAGTTTTGTATTGGAAGAATTTTCATACTGATGTAATACTTTTTTTTTTCCTGTGAGGTTCTATGTGAAAACATCTTCCTGTTCTTACTGCTGTACATTAACGATCTTTGCGTGGTCTCTGGAACTGGTGACCACTAGAGCTAGACAAGCTCTCTGTTTAGGGGATAAAGGTCCCCTATGTAAACTACCTTGCTCAAGGCATATTTCACTATAAATTGATACATGGAATGTTCTACATGATCTTGGGAAGCTGCCTTGGGGCTACAGACTCTCATTTAAAAAACTCACAACAGCGAACAGCTGTGGTAGTACTTAAATACTTGTAAATGATGCTTTTGTGCCTCCTACTGTTCATGGTTATAGTTTAAGACTTACATGTAGAACAGACACACCTGAATGCTATATCCAGGAATACATGTTGATATGTATGACTCATTTTTCTGTCAAAATATGCAGCTGAAATTCTGGCAACTCACAGAAGGATGTAGGTTCCCCTTGTTGAACTTCATGAGATTCCTCTCGGCCCGTTTCTCCAGCCTGTCCAGGTCCCTCTGGATGGTAGCACAACCATCCAATGTTTCAGCCACTCCTCACAGTTTTGTATCACCTGCAAGCTTGTGTAGGCTGCACTCTGTCCCATCAAACAGGTCATTAATGAAGATGTTAAACAGTACTGGCCCCAGTATGAAACCCTAGGGAGCTCTGGTGTTTTGTCTCCAACTGGACTGTATGCCGCTGATCACATCCCTCTGGGCTGGTGGTTCAGCCACTTTTCATCCCACTTCACTGCACACTTAACTAACATACTTCATCAGTTTGTCTGTAGGATGTTATCAGAGATAATGTCAAAAGCCTTACGAAAGTTGAGACAAACACCACCTTCTGTTCTCCCCTTACCCACCAAGATAGTTGTCTCACTATAGAAGGCTATCAGGTTAATAAAGCAGGATTTCCCCTTTGTAAATCAGTGCCAATTACTCCCAATCATCTTCTTGTCTTTAACATGTATGGAAACAGTTTTCAGGACTATCTTCTCCATCAGCTTCCCAGGTTACAACATAATCTGTAAAAGTTGTGTGGACTGTGAGCTATAGCCTGCAGCTACCAGCATCCACAATTCAGCTAATGCAAGAAAACTGCTTGTCAGCTGACTTTGTATTATGGAATGCAGAAGTGATTCATGAGAATCCAGAGGGGAAGCAGTACAAAAACCCATAGCTGAATGGTATGATACAGTTGTATGAGTCATCACACTAGCACTCCCTCAGTCAGAAACTCAAGGTGTTGCTTTGTCTGGATCCTGTTTACTGTTGAATTTCTATTGCAGTGCTATTTTCTTTCTGGCTGCCTCTAGCTCACTCAGAATGAGACTTCCTCATTCAAATTTCAGTATGATTCTGTCAAATCCAAAAGTCAACTATCAAAAAAAAAAAAAAGGGGGGGACAGTCGTCATCTATTTCAGCAGACTTATCAAAATTTGGGATGCTTGTGTCTGTTTCAACCACCACTGAGAAATGATTCTACTTATGGTAAATATGAAAACTCACAATAAAATTCCCAGAAGTGATTTATTTTTAATTCTCTTTAAAATGTACACTTTTACAAATTAAGAAGTGCTGCAAACCCTTTGAACAGATTACAAACTACTGACCAGAAATGTACAACACAAGAGTGGAGCCTAACCTGTATTTGCCTTCCTCAGTAAAGTATTCTGTGTCCCTTGTATTGGAGCTCCTTTCCAAGAAATTCCACTTTGGAAGACCTTTACTAATCAAAGAACAATAAACACTCTTTACTGCTAAACATATAGATAGATAGATAGATAGATATTTAAAATTGTACCCATTTTAGAAGAATTGTTCATAAAGGCAATTCTCTTGTCTTCTTCAAAAAAATTTTGATTTACTTTTAAAACTTCTTTTATTTTTTACTTTACAGACTGGGGAATTCAGAAATTGTGTATCTGTAAACGGATCCCCACGCCTTAATTTGCTGTAAACAAAAGAAATAAAAGACATAATGTATGAATATCACCAAGCACCTATACCTACAATTGTAATAATTATGTAAGTATAATAACAATTCCAAATAGCAAATACCATCAATGAAAGCTTGACACACTAAAGAAATTAAATTTATGGAAAATAAATACGTCTTAAATAGCAAGGCATAGATAACTACTGTTTTCCAAAATAATGCTAAAAATAGTAGTCTTTTTATGTGGCCTGTACCATATTAATATGTGAGTAAACATAACTTATTCCTAAAAGACAAAACTCAAAAAATATTTAAACCAAAAGCTTAACAGCATCAATTCAGGACAGTATACCCGAAAATAAAATATAAATAGAATATAGTAATGTAAAGTCTTGAGTGACATCCACATTTTTTTCTGTTATTAGTTACTGTCTCCTTCCAGAAATACAGAATCTTGTAATTGTGGGGTAAAAGAGGAGAATGTGTCAATATCATAATATGACAGCATTTTAGCATCCAATTCAATTAGTAAGAGAAAAATGTAACTCTTTGTAACCCTTTGCATTTCTTTTACAAACTACCTGGCATAAATATTTCTGAAAAGCCAGTGGTAAAGTGGAAAGATACTTCCTGCATTACTTTTAGCTCCTATTTGTCCTCAGTCTCATTGTTTCATTTAGTTGTTTGCTTACAGAGGTAAACAAAAATATTTTGAGGGTGTATGAGAACACCGTGCTAATTTTTTCAGTTTGTGGATTTGTTTTCTTCTCCTCCCGCAGTTTTGCCAGAAAGGGAAGATATACTCCTTTTACACCTTTGTCATAAAGTAAGTTGCTATAATCGTTTTACTCTCAACACTATTACAGGGAAATCTTGGTACTGTCTTTACCTCATGAATATGCATTCTACTAATACACACAGAACACAGCATAATTTTTCCTTAATATTATACTTAAAAAAACCCTCAAACCAAACAAAAAACGCCAACTAACTTTGTGGCAAAAAGCTCTCAGCATATTTTCAGAAGTAACCAAATTAAAGGTCCATTGGGATTTAGATCTATTCACGTAACTGCAAATATACTAGTTTTCTTAATGGAAGTTTGGCTTTAAAATCCTTTTCTAAATTTTAACAGTCATTACACAATTTATGTCTTGTTTTTTAACAATCTCAGAAAT